CATACCGCCAAAGTTCACATCCACTTACTTTTCGAAATGGCAGTCAGCTAAGCATGCTACTGTTAAAGATCATCTAATGCTGACATTTCTGTTGGCCACTTTAAAAACATAATTTCGTGAGTAGCCGGTCTCAATCACTGACATTTTTTTGTGTTTAGCGCTGGGATATGCTTTCGTATAGCTCCCACCTTGTTTGCTATGTAATAATATCACAAGCTCAGGTTTTCTCATACCTACGAAAACGCCCAGATCTTTCAGACCGCTGTTTCTTTTTCCAGTCTGACTCTTTGCAGAATGAATTCGAACCAAAGACACAGGTTGTAAGTCACCAAGATGCACAAGTATCCACGGTTTGTTTTCCGTGTGGGACCTGAAACATGTCCTTGGATCGCCATCCACTGCAAACCGAGCGAAAGCCTCTTTCTCTTTACAGTTGTCCTTTTTACAACCCTCAAAATTGTCGGTTGAGGACGCGATCGCTTTTTTCAGTAAGGCAAGATTCTGATTGCTATGCCATATCTGTGGTGGCCGTGCTGATGAAAGAATGAATCAAGGTCAATGAAATGGTGGTACAACTAGAGCAGTTTCGTTTTAAAACCTCGTTCAACAGTCATGATAGGTGATGATAGTTTTAACTGTCACATGCCCTTGAACACGAACTATCATGTATTATCTTATTATTATTATTACGATTATTATTATTATTATTATTATTATTATTATTGTCATTACTTTAATGATGAAAGTGATGTTGGTTATTGGTATTATCTATTCGCTTCATTTGTTTACCTTTAATGCATTTCTCTCCAGGTAATACATAGTTCTCAATGGGAAGTTTTGTAGAACTCGATGATGCAAAACCAGGATTACACTTGCAGTAGTAAGAGCCAGGAGGAAACAAAGGACTTATGAATTTCGTGTCACATTTTGACTCCTTTAAGTCACCGCATTTGTTTTGCAATTGACAAATGTCACCTATGAAGAACAAATGACATTAATGTCTGACTGACTCACTTTCCTGTCATTCTCGAGTTCTATGATGGGAAGGTCAAGAATAGAAAGAAGAGCAAAGTCAACATTCGACCAGCTAACCACGTATTTGTACCAAAATTTAGATTAAGACAGTGGATATATCCGGCTTGTTATTTAACTCAATGATTGACTTATCTCTACGTGTATTTACCTTTCATGCGCACATCACTTTTGCTACATCGGAAAATATGTTCTCTCTCCTTTTCTAACAGAGCTATTAAGAACGTTATAGATATGGAACACAGTTAACCATGCTATCAGATCTAGAGTTCATTGAATTCGGGCGATAGTGAATCAGCGTTACTGATGTAAACCCCCACCCTCTCTCCTCAGGAAAATTCCACCAAACAGACGAAAGCTGGAAAGGGATAATAATGCGATTAGTCGTCAAGATATCATTATAGATACTGTGCATCTAAAAAAAAGCAATGCAATATCCTTCTCGGTTCCCTTTTGATGGATTAAACTATTAAACGTAACGTTACAATCAGCACGGCTCCTTCCAGAAGACATCCATTGAATGATATCAACCTCTCCCCCTTGTTAGCTCCTGTCAATAAACTGGCACGTTCTCTCCTTTCAAGCCTAGTGCCTAACTCCCCCGCTCTCCATAGCCGGAGCTCATCCCTATTTCGATGTAGCATGGAAACTACTTCTAAAAGTATTACTTCTCTCCTTCGGATTGGACGCTAGTCCATCACAAGGTTACCCCCCCCTCCCCCTCCCTCCCCTTTCACCAGCATTACATCAGGCTTCCCAGATAATTCGCTGGTTCTAAAGTATACTCCTGGATGGAAAGAGTGTGTGAGGAGTATTTTGCCCAAAAACACAGCACATTGACCCAGTACACTGAGTCAAGTACCCTGACCATCAAGCAACTGTGTCTCCTAAACAGCAAACAATAAGAAGATGCAATTGTTTACTTACTTGTGTAGCGAGCTTTGATCGTGACCACTCCGTTCTCCTGATCCTTGCTAACAGCTCCATTAATGTACTTTTGTTCACTTTTGTCTCCCTTTGATTCACATTTATCATTACTGCTGTCTGTACTGCGCTTCACAGGGATCAGTACGGCAGTGTTGAAAGTGAGGCTCTCTGCTTTTGGTGGAAGGTCGATGACAAGGTCTTTCCTAGCCACTGTTACTGTGCGACGAGGATTTGTCAAATCGATCTCAGCGGAAACCTTGTCTGGCGAATAATCTTTAAAGCGATATTTTCCTTTCTCCAGCATCCCTTTATCGTCCCGATTGTGGTTAACAAGGTACTTTATGTTTGTGTCTATAGCATCAGCTGGAGATGAATAGCAATATCAAACCAGTGTAGATGTGAATTGATAAGAGAACATCATGCATTCAGCTGCAACTGCAAAATTTTAATGGAACTTACGATTCAGAAAGACCTGTACGTCACATAGTTGGAAGTACTCTTTTGCTGCAATATAAACATATCTTCCCAGCATTGGCTCAGCACAGCTAAATGAGATGGACGTGAATTCCGGGATGCGAAGACTTTTGCGACACAATGGGTTGGCCGTAAGATCAGCTTCAATATTTCCTTGAAAAAACATGTATATTTTTGCTCTAGCCATAGCTATCCGTCCCATTTATTATCATAATCATTTTTATGCATATTTGATTCGTTTATTTATTTATTTATTAATCAATTGTCTATTGGAAACTTTAGGTGGCTTAGATGAGGGAGCCTTTGAAATCGCGATAGTTACGTGGAGTAGGAACAACCTTTGAATCTCGTCTTTAAAACAGATTGAAGACATCTTTGAACACCTGAAAAGTCTCTTACCTATTCTGATGTCGATGTTTGAAAGTTTCATTCTACTCTTAATGCTAACTTTTTCCACCCATAGATGCTTTCCCAAGTCAATTTGCAACCAAGGGGTTTTGAACTTGTTTAAATTTTCAAAGCAGGTTTTTGTCCCGTATTTATCATCATCCACTGCTTCATGGGCGCTGCCGTGAGAATGACGACTTCTCAGATTGGTTTGTACCGGTCTTTGGTAAGCAACGTTTACGCCTAAATGTGAAAATGAAAAGGTATTATAAGTATTTATTGTACGCATTTTCTTTAGCAACCTCGAAAGAGTAAGAACTTCTGTATTCGCTCTGACAAAGGGCTAACGCTCGAAGTGTCAGCTTTGAAACTCTTAACGGCCGCCAGTTTACTTTATAAATTCTGTTGATAAAACTCAAATTACCTTATTACTCCCAACGACGCAGCACCACAGTCTATTCAGAAACTAACCCCTTTAACAACTTCTTCAGCCATGTACACACAATGGAGTCAGTGCAATTCATTTTCGCTTCAAAGTTACTTAGTCCTTACTTGGCTTCGTCTTAGTAAAAGGGAAAGAAGACAAAAGTGCATCAAAACTACGACAAGAAAGAGATTTCCCTTCCTTCTCCATCTTCTAGCTGGTAAATTTTACTCATTGTGAGTCGACCGGATATTCGTATGTAGAAAGAAAAAATCAATCAAACGCGGCAATATGTGATTGTGATAATTCCTCGGATTGCGTTTATCATCTTACCTTTGGAACTTGTTGTTCGCAAAAATTGCAGTAACAGGAAACATAAAAGACCAATGGCAGTTGTTTTCTTCATTGCAGCACGATCTATTATCGCAAACCGCTACATCTCCTTTGTGGGCACTACATTGGGCAACTGAATTTGCTGAAGGTTTTGTAGCATTTCTTTTCAGAAACCAGAAATCCTGATTATGACGTCAAGAAGCAGTTTATTGCTCTAAGTATGCAAGGGCGCGCGCCACCATCTGAGCAAGAACGGCGGCTTTTCCTAAAATGCTAAATAAGGGTTAAAAAGAATGAAATTTAGCTTTTGAAGTTTAGACACAGTTTGATTGTTTACAACCTGTTTTGCCTTCAGGAATGCCTCACAGCGAGATAAAATATAACAGCATTAAAAGAAGGCGATTAGCCGTCTATTGTGCGTTAGTACTAGAATCACAGCTCTTCTGAGGGCCGAGATAATCGCCCCCAAATGTTGAAACAAAACAATTTTTCTTCATCGGCGAAAAAGCCAGGGTTGGGTCGGATAACGGCCAACTGAGTTGAATGATTTTCGCAGAAACCTGATTGATGTGGCGAGAGGAGGGACTTTTCTGACAGGTAGCTATGTAGCTGATGGAGGACAGACTTTCTCTAGAATTTTCGACAGGATCGGTAAAATTGATATAGGTCTGTAAATGTCCAGATCATCTTTGTTTCCAGGTTTAAACAAGGGTACAACCTTTACTTGCTTCCATTCAGACGGGACCGTACCAGATTTAGTGGAGAGATTTACCAAATGTGTTACACAGTTAGCTATCACATTTGCGCTGTCCTTTAAAAGTCGAGCTGGTAGACCCGTCTAGACCAGTGGCTTTCTTGAGTTTTAAGCATTTAAGAGCGAATGTTTGAATAGACCGAGTGAAAATCGAAAAATGTGGCACATGATCGATAAATTGAAAACCTTCATATTTTGGGCAGAGATACCTTATAGTGAACTTAGAATCATGGTAAGGTTTTTTTTCCCAGACTTGCTTCTTTATCCTAGAAAATTCACGAAAACTGAAACGAGCGTCGGTAGCCGTAAAATGGCGGAAATAAGTACCCTGAGTAGAGGCAAATGAACTTTGCTCATGAAAAGCGCCATAAAAAGCAAGCCCGTATCAATTTGACAGATTTGTATAGGAAGGACTGAGGTATGGCTTAAGTCTAAAACGGAACCGTTTCATTTAACTTTGACATCACGAAACGCTTTTAAAAATCACCAATATTTCAAAATCCAAATATCGCATTTTGTAGTCAATTTTCAATTATCACTTTGACCATGCGGTATAACTCAGAATCGCTTCAGGTTAAGCTCATGATAAGCGGAAATAGTGTTGCTTTCGAGGATATAAAAGTTAATTTGGGGCTTTTCATTCCCGCAAGGAAAAACCAGGCTGAACTTTGTGAAAATCGCAACATCGTCATTTAAGTTACGACGTAATCTAATTGGGCACCCCGTGGTTAAATCCGGAATTCCAAGCACATTTTAGAAGTTAGCACTGTGGTCGATCAGGAAGTCAATACAGTAAGCTATCCTTGCATAGCTAACCACGACAGATTGGTTTTTATCTCTGCTTTCGTTTCAAAATCTCCGATCCATTTCCCATGGCGGAATTGTTTACAATAACACATTCCTTAAGCTAGCGGAGGGCGTCTGTTTTTCTTTGCGTGCTCGAACACCTATAAGTCTTAAGAAAGTTGTGGGGTAAACTTGAGCTTCATTGTGGACTTGAAAGAGGACAATTCAATCATTTATAACGGCGGTTCAAATGTTCTTTGCCGAAGACGTTGAATACGGGAAGCAATTTGATATTATTATGAATTCAACATTCTCAAGCGTTTGTCACGCAAGGTCGAAATATCTACAACCACAAGAACATATTGGATTGTTCCCTTCTTGCGGTTTTTTGCATTTTGGGCCACGAGAATAACACCTTTAAAAAACTTGTTCCTTAGATAAATATTGAATATGTTACCTCGGAAGAGTGTTTCGCTAAAAGCAGAGATACAACTGTAAGAAAACCCATATCTTAAACTACTTTTAACGGAAAATCACTGGACTCAGTCGTGAGTGAAAGAAAAGCCTGCGGCACGATTTTTCTCGGTGATTATCATCAAACAGATGACATCGTTAGGTGGAGGGATTCTGAAAGTATTATGCTGGAATAAAAAATGATGCGTCGATCAATTCAAAGCTTCAAAAACGCCTTCCTTCAGGAATTCTAACTTTTGAAGATTGGTTCCAGCCCCCCTGTTCAAATGCCATGCCCAGGTGCTAGATCTTTAATTTGTGGTTCTCAGTGGGGTTAGCTCTCAACCATAAAACGGCAAAAATTAGCCGTTAGGCGTAAAAATTGACAAATTTTGACCGTGATTCCTAGAAATATTGTAACCGTAGAAAAAGTAGCATTTGCCATATAAAATGGCCAAAAAATGTAACCGTTAGCCGTGAAAGCCATCTTTCCGTTGAGACCCTCTTTACATTGTCTCATCTATTGTAAAAGGCGCGATCAACAATTGATTTGACTATTCAAGCTCCAAAACCTAGACCTTATAGACCCTATATTCTGAGCCATCCGCTTTAAGTACCTCCATAGTAAAAGGTAAACCACCAGTATTCCACTGGAAAGACTCGACGCTTCCGATTCAAATTCTCCACCCCACCCAGGTAAGGGTTCAAAGGACAACAGTCAAAAGCCCGTGGGTTGCCCCGGATGTTGAAACTGCGATTAATCGGTGTATAACGTCACTGACACTAAGGCAATTTTTATATTAATCCATCGAGACTGAATCAAAGCCAGGGCTCTTTTGCTAGCTTCGGAGCTAAACTTTGGAACTCCATTTGCGATGCTCTTCGTCAACTCCCGAAGAGAGCTTTTAAAAAACTCTTCAAGGACATGTTATTTTCGTTCTAGAGGTTGAGGATTACTATGTTGAATCGCTCCTTCTATTTAAAAAAATTACTAATTATAAACTGGCTTTAAAATTTATATTCTACATTGTAGTGTTATTATTTTCTTATGTTTAATGATGCAGTTGTTTATAAGTGTTTTACGTGGCTGTCTTTTTCTGCAAATGTTATTAATTTATGTTTAAATTTATTTGTACTCTATCACCACTGCTGTACCTCTAATTCTCGCCCGCCTCCACTAGCTCCTCCTATTTGCGGGTGTGAACGGTCTTCATGAACATGAAAGTGTAAATCAGATCAATAATAATTAGAGATAGATACTTTATTATAAACACCTTGCAGCCATAGGCTGAACTACGGAATATTTACAAATACAGATGATAATAAAGGGGGTATAAAATATTACAACTTCGTCGTTAAGAAAGAAGAAAAATTATCTACATCTTACAAATATGGCTAAAAATAAAACCGTTCTTCAAGCGCTCGGTGTTGCAGATGGGGAGAGTGAAATCACTTTTGCGCCTCAGTGCGTATCTACAACTCTTCCTTCGGGGAGGAGGCTGTGGAGTCTATGGGTGGAGTTACGGACTATCTCTTCAAACAGATTGGTTGAAATTTTTTCCCTCCTCTCGTGAAGTTTCGGTAGGCCAGCTGTTTCTAGTGCTACACGACATGACGGGTCAGGATAGATGATTCTGAGTGCTCTTCTTTGGATCCGTTCCAAATCTTCGCTGACGTAGTTTGGTAGAGAACGGTGGAATACACGACTTGCGTATTCCAAGACGGGCCTAATACATGTCACATAGAATTTCACAAGTTCGCTTGGTGCAACTCCGGATCTCTTGAGCTGTCTCAAAAAGTAGAGACGAGAGGAACATTTTCTACTTAATTCAGAGGTGTGCTTGTTCCACTTTAAATCGTGGCTAATGGTCACGCCTAGCAATTTGGCACTGGTGACTAATTCAAAGGGTTTGCCATTTAGGACTAGGGGTTCAAAATCTGTGATGTCAGAAACTGGAAGTTTTGAATAAATGTTGGTTTGATGCTGCCCAAGAGCAACATTTCCAACCAAGAATTACGAAAATCTGGCGAAAATCAGCGGAGATGGCTGAATTTACATGATTTTATAATCACCCATCAAAAACAACTTTTTCCAAGTCTAATAAATAATAATAATAAATAATAAATAGTAATAATAATAATAATAATAATAANGGAGTTGGGATTCTTAACAACGTTATTTTCAATTTTGAATTATTTGTTTAGGTTGTTTCGTGGAAAACCTGTAAACTAGCTTCTAGCTAAGTGTTTCTCCACGTTAAACTGTTTATTATTATTATTATTATTATTATTATTATTTATTATTATTATTTATTAGACTTCGAAAAAGTTGTTTTTGATGGGTGATTATAAAATCATGTAAATTTAGCCATCTCCGTTGATTTTCGCCAGATTTTCGTAATTTATGGTTGGAAATGTCGCTCTTGGGCAGCATTAAACCAACATTTATTCAAAAAAACTTCCAGTTTCTGACATCACAGAAACATAGCACTGAATTCCAACCTAGTTTTGTTCATCCGTCATTTAAACCAAATTTAAACAGCTTTGTAATTTTGTAGTGAACAGTAATGAATCACCTTCTTTAGATCACGCGGTTCCAATGGCGAGGCGGTGCTTCAAATGAGTTACGCCAAGCTTCGTTGTGCTGTGAAATGGGGAGAGTTATTAAAGAGTTCGTCTAAGGACTATATGGATCAAGAGATGCACAGGGCACTTAAACGACTTTTCCCTGGTGTAGACATTCCAACTCCCCTGGAATCGGTGTACAAATATTGGGAAGAGGGATTTATGTAAGTACCGTACAACTGTAAATTGAGTTGATATGTGCATATCGCTCTAAACGGAGAGCATAAGTAACCGACAGTTATATTTACTAGCAATGATTTTGAAGAAAGACAACATTCATGTAATCGTGAAGTGGTAAAACATTGGTTACATCGTTGACTTCAGAAGCAGAGGTACAAAGTAGGTCCTTAATTCTAAGCCACCGTTACATAAAGAGACAGGAACCTTTCTTTTGACCCTGAATAAGTGGGATTTAAAATTAACAAAGTCCCAAAAGTTTCCTGCTCGACCCTTGTGTTTAGTGCAACGTAAAAATGACTTCTCTAGATCAGCTGATGATGAATCAATATAATACAATACAAACAAACTTTATTGA